CTACCTACCTACCTCTGTCTACCTACTGTTCTATCTATATAGATCTATCTATCTCTATCTACCTACTGTTCTATCTATATCGATCTATCTATCTCTATCTACCTACCTCTATCTATCTATCTACCGTTCTATCTATCTACCGTTCTATCTATCTACCTACCGTTCTATCTATCTATCTATCTATCTATCTGTCTACCTACCTACCGTTCTATCTATCTGTCTACCTACCTACCATTCTATCTATCTATCTGTCTACCTACCTACCGTTCTATCTATTTATCTGTCTACCTACCTACCGTTCTATATATCTACAGTGGTGTGAAAAAGTGTTGGCCCCCTTCCTGATCTACCTACCGTTCTATCTATCCATCTGTCTACCTACCTACCATTCTATCCATCCATCTGTCTACCTACCTACCGTTCTATCCATCCATCTGTCTACCTACCTACCGTTCTATCTATCTATCTATCCATCCATCTGTCTACCTACGTACCGTTCTATCCATCCATCTGTCTACCTACCTACCGTTCTATCCTCTATCTACCGTTCTATCTATCTATCTATCTATCTATCTATCTATCTATCTATCGTTCTATCTATGTATCTATAGTTCTATCTACCATTTTATCTATCTATCTATCTACAGTTCTATCTATCTATCTATCTATCTATCTATCTATCTATTCGGTGCTATTAACTAAAACTGTTAAAACTGATTTCAGTAAATGAAGTAAAATAAAATAGAACTATTTGATGAAAAAAAATGTAAAAAGTAAAATAAATAAATACCTAAAAATGTTTCCTTGGCAAATAACTTAAGCTTAGGTAGAAATACTAAAATTATTTAAAAGATAAATTAAATAAAATATTAAAAAATAAATGAAATAAAAATAAAGATAAATCGAAATATTTAAAAATGACAAATGACAATTTAAAGAAAGTAGTTAATGAAAAATGACAAAAGCACATAACAAAATTACTAAAACTTAAACTTAAATTAAATTAAAATGAAAACGTAAAAGCTAATTCAAAATATTAATAAATACAATTAACAGTAAATTAATAATAGTAAAAATAACTATCTCTTTACCTATTTATCTAGGCAAATTTCAGTTCAACACAATCAACATAACACACATTAGAAAACTCATTCATCATTTTCATTACGTAAAAACAATTCTCTAATCTATTTGATTCGATTTGAAGTATGACCTCCTAAAAGGCCATCTCATGTTTTCAATGTCATTATGGAAATGTGATATGAGCAGCTCTGAACTGATTTAAAGTCTCCAAAGTTTGTGAAGAAAACATAATTAACTGAAATGTAAACAACAAAACCTCTTACCTCTACCTCAGCCTCCCGAGCTTGAACAGTCAGTGACTGTAACTGCTACAGATGATTGTTAGAGATGACAACAGCTAAGTTCCTGAGGACACACACACACACAGACACACACACACAGACACACACACACACACACACACA